GATGGAAGTGATTGAGGGACAGAGTTCAAATGCTAATGTTGATGATAATGCTGGTAAAGGTAAAGAAATTCTAGTGGTTGAAAAGGACAATTAATGTAATAAGGATGTGGTGTCAAGTACTTGTGTTGATCAGCATGGTTGTGATACAGAGAAGAATCAAATTGAGCTATTGCTGGGTGCAGAGGATGCTTGTTTGCGGGAAATTGACTCTTGCTTACAGTGTGGGCTTGTGTAGAATTCCCCAAGATTCCCAAAAAGATTGTTCATTGTATATTTGGGAGAAATTAATCAGTTTCAGAAATCAGAAATGTTATTCGGTTCAGACACTTTTGGAAAGCGGGTTGATGTTAACGATTTTTTTTCCTGAAGTAGAGAAGTTTGTAAAGTCAGTTACGTTTCTTCAGAAGACTGTGCGGATTGATCTCTTGACTAAAAAAAAAAAAAAAGGGTTTTGTTTAAAGAAATACTTAACCGCATTTAGAAAAATTGAAAAACAGGAAAAAATAGAGTGTCAAAAGCACTTTTATAACTGGCCTTCCATGCATCATGTGGTGTCTTTACTTCTACATTTAATTGTTTGTTCTTTCTTCCAGCTTTGTTTATGGAAGTATCAAGGGTTGGTTCACTTAATATTAATGGTGGAAGGGATGGACATAAGCATGCTCTGGTTTCTGAAATAATTGAACAAAATCATTGAAATGCCATTTTTATTCAAGAAACGCATAGCAATATAGTTAATAAAGTTGACTGGGGAATGTGGTGGAAGGGGCAAATTAGTCACAAAACAAATGTGAGTGCAGGGGTTGCAATTCTATTTTCGCCAGATTTAAAAAATAATATTTTTAAAAACAGAGGAACCAGTACATGGCAGACTTGTATTGGTTAAGGGTGATATTGAGGGAGTCCTTTTCTATTTTTTAAATGAGTATGCACCTAATGTGGGGCAGGAGTGAGTTATTTTATTATATTTTTCAGTATGTAAAAAAAAAAAGTTCTTAATCAGTGTTCGAATGATGGCAACATAATTATGGGAAGTGACTGGAATTGTACTGAATAATTTACTATTGACCGTACCACTGTAGAACCTCATTTGCAATCTTCATCTCAATTATCACAAATAATTAGAGAGACAGAACTTTTAGATGTGTGGCGTATTAAACATCCACAAGTGAGACAACATTCATGGGTTAAAATGATGGACAATAGAGTTAGTGCAGCTCGTTTGGATAGGATATATGCATCTAATCATTTTAGTAATAGGATTATTGATTGTTGTATAATTCCAGTAGGGTTCACAAATCATCATCTGGTTTCTGTAACTACAAGTATGTCAAAATGTGCAAAAAAGTCTTCTTATTGGCATTTTAATACTAAATTAAAATTGCTTCAAAATGTTATTTTTGTAAACATTTTGAAACTTTGGCAACAGTGGACATTTTGAAAGTTTAAAACAATGATGGGAAATAGGAAAGATAAATATTAAATTTTGTCAGCAGTATACTGCTAATTCCACTAATAAATTAAAATAAACTATTCAATCCATTGAGAAAGATACAGTATATCGACCATAGAGGGGGATTTAATAAATAGATATGATTCTAATTTGTGTAACAACTTGCAGAAAAAAAAGAGAACTGGGGCTGTTTTTGAATGAAAGGGTGAAAGGAGCTCTAGTAAGGTCTCGGTATATCTCTTGTAATGGCATGGATGCACCCAGTGCATACTTTTTAAACTTAGAACTTAAATGTCTTTGCCTTCCTGATGGGAGAATGACCCGCAATATTATGGAGATGCGGCAACATTAGATTAAATTACCTAATGTAAGATAACAGAAAGACTTAGCTTTCTTTGTGAGGTTAACACATCCATAGAAGGCTCAAGACTGAAAACAACTGAATGAAAGAGGCATGCTTAGATAGACCGAAACTGGTGGTGCTAATACACTTAATGAGCAGCAACACAATGAACTCTGCAGCAGCTGGGTCCACCTAGTGGCTGGGAGAGACATTACATGCTGGAGTCTTACAGTTCCTGCAACAAGATGGACACAATTTTTTGGATCAGACGCTTCTCCTAAAGGCTGCTGGCATTCTCTGTACAAATGTTCGACTGACAAGCGGACAGGTGACCTCCAATAGAGGATTGTACATGGAGAGCTACGAACCACCTGTGGTACCACCTCAGTCCTAGTGTTGGGGTGGGTTGTCCCTTTTGTTCTGAGATGGAGTCAGTTTTTCATCTTTTTGTGAAGTGCTCATGCTTGGGAAATCTTTTTGGTTTATTAAGTAATTGGTTATTGTCCATAGGTGAAGAATTTTTTTCTCAATTGTTCATTTTTTGGGCCTATATTCGGTTCATAAAAAAATAGTTGGTTTTAATAATTTTTTTATCTGGTATTGCAAAATTAGCTATTTGAAAGACAAGAAAAAATAAACTGTCAGTGCAAGGGGCATTAAGTGTTGTACCTATGTTTTTGGGGCTTGTAGCTTCTCGATTGAGAGTGGAGTATGCATACCACAAGCTGGTAGATTAATTGCCAAAATTTGTAGAATTATTGAGAATAAATGAAGTATAATGTACACTGCATGATGATGAGTTTGTTTTGATATTTTGAAAGAAAATGTAATTAAATGTAATGTAATTTAATTGTAAAAATAAAGGTAACTTTATGTAAAGATTCTAAGATTATTTGTACTGAGAATAATTTATAAATTAAGTGAAGTTTAATGCAGTTGACTGAGTTACTGATTTGCTTAATTTTGAAATGATAACATTTCATTCTGTTTCGACTTGCCATTTCAAAGATTAAATTTAAACAATACTACACTTAATTGACATTTCTGTGATCATTTATCATGCAATATTTTATTTATCTTGTTTGTCATGGGTCACAACATGCTGTCAGGTCACAAGCCTGATTTGGGCCACATGATCACTGAACTGATCTGGGCCACACTCCTCCCACCAACAGTCGGCCCTCATATTGTTTGCTGTGATCCACACTGTGCCATCATTGCCACACATGACCCAGCTCTGGCTGAAAGGGTACATGCCATTGCCGACAGGAGGCCAGCAGTGCCAGCTTGAGGCCACATTTGGGCCAAGATTGTTTGCTATGTGGGAACACATTCAAGCATTTATCTCAGTTTCTCGACAGTTGTATCAAAAAAGTTCAACTACCGTGTCAGACTGGTTAAGTAATATTACCCACAATCTACTAGAAGTACTTTAAAAAAAATATTTATCTGTGATTATTTGGTAATCATCTGTCCGCTAACAATGATGGCACATATCTGTTTATTATTATGATGCTCAGTACCAAACTTGAATTCTTTCTTTCATGTAAATGTTTAATATTATTTGTTAATATCGTAAATGTTGATATTTTTGATAGTATTTGCCACATCGCAGTTACTGACTGACATGGTGTAATGTGGTGTTTTGGGTTTTGTTTCATGTTCATGTTTTCCATGTCTTTTATTTTGTAATTGTTTCATGGTCCCTGTTTGTGTCATGCTTCCCTTGCCCTCATGTATTCATGCCATTGGTTCCCCTGTTCATTGTGTCATGTTCTGATTGGCTGTCTTAGTCATGTGTCTTGTTTCCCATTGGTTTGTTCTTGTCATGTGACCCTCTTGTTTCCTATAAGTAGCTTCATGTTCCCATTGTGCCCTTGTCGTGTATTGAAGTTGTAACTCTGCTGTTGGTGAGTCTAGTCTGTTCATGCCACGTCAAGTCTGTTCATGTCAAGTCAAGTCTCGGATTATGTTTGGATGTTTGGATCACTGTAAATAAAGCTGCACTTGGGTTCTCACTTCAACTCGCCTTCAGTGGATGATTCGTTACACATGGTCACAAAGTTACATTGTGGCAACGAATACAGGAATTTCTCTTTTCCGGTTGTCACAACGTAACTTTATGACATTGTCACGACAAAAGTTTGGTCATATTGTTTGCTTAATATAATTAATTAACATTTGTATTAATGCCTTGTATTTTTGTTGTAGTTGTTCATGTTGGTAGTTATTTATTTTTTTTATAATTGAAGAGAATTAATGAGTCTGAATTCCTCATTCTCTTCTGTTGAAATAGCCTTTAAATTAGTTTGGGAAAATGAGGACATAAATTAGGTTAGCTACTGTACGGCCGCCCTTAGAAAAAAATAAAATAAAAAGAAAAATTACCAGCTGATTACCAACACACAACTATCTGATCCACGACGTTACTATGATGTCACAATTACTACCTGACAATGTCACAAAGTTACGTTGTGGCGACGAAACCAGGAATTTCACTTTTCCAGTTGCCTAGATGGAACTAGTTACATTGCCACAACGATAGTTTGGTCATCAGATTACGTTGCAGTAACGTATCAGTTACGTATTTTTGTTAGCTGGGTGAAATGAGAACATTGGAGGCAGTCTTGGCCTAATGGTTAGAGAGTCGGACTTGTAACCCGAAGGTCACAGGTTCAAGTCTCGGTACTGGCAGGAATTGTCTGTGGGGGGGAGTGAACAATCAGTGCTCTCTCCCACCTTCAATACCATGACTGAGGTGACACCCTTGAGCAAGGCACCGAACCCCGAACTGCTCCCCGGGTGCTGCAGCAATATGGCTGCCTACTGCTCCGAGGGTATGTCTGTGTGCGCACTAGGATGGGTTAAACGCAAGACACAAAAAAAAGAGTATGGGTCACCATACTTGGTCACTTCACTTTCATTTGTCAAATTGTCTACATGCATTTCAAAATATTGTTCAGTTAACAATGTCTCTGATGGTTCCCTAATGAAAACTTAAATAGACTGATTTTACTCCATGTGTGCCTATTTTTGTCATATATTTATGGTTAGCAGCTCTTTGTCATTTATTCAGATTTTGCCACAGCCTTGAACTTTTACCTGCACTTGTTGTCAGACCAGACAGACAGAAACAGGTTAGTTTCCTCTGAAAGTGAACGACACTACCTGCAAACTTCTTCTTGCTCTCACTTTGGCAACATGGAAAGAAACGTCTACATGATGAAATGTAATGATACAGGTATCATATTTGATTATAAATACCGTCTTTCTGTTTGTTATACAAAAGTTAATTGTGAGGTGCAACATTAAATAATGACTTTAGCTTGGTGATGAATGTAATTAATAACTATGTGCAAAAGCAAAAGTTTAACTTTCATCATCTGTCACAGAAACAAAATAAAATCTGTGTAAGAAATGTCTTTAGTGTTTAGAAGCAGAAATATTGTCTGATGTGAAGTGTTTTTGGTTTATGTTCACTTCTCTTTGTAAACAACACGATGACGAACTGCTGCATAAATTCTGAGTGTAGAGATAAAAGTTCCATCTCATGTTATTCAACATTTAACTTCTTTCAATCATTTGACTAACTGAGTTCAATATTTCTCATGTAATTCAGAGAGTGTCTTATTTCTATCATATATGAGATTGTTATAATCAGTGTGTGTTTGTTTAGTGGGAATCAAACCTGTGATTCACAGCAGTTTTGCAGGAAGATCTTCATGATGTACTAGTTGAGGTTCCCAGTTCAACCTACTGTAGATAAACAGAAAATTGAAAAACAAACTATAGGCACAACAGCTTCAGAACAGTGATGGAGCTTCACATCTGGACAAAAGAACAGAGACTGTGTTACTGTTTGAAAATCCCTAAAATCTCTTACAGGATGATGAAGAGACAGACGTCAGTAGCCAGAGAAGATGATCGGCTGAAGACTTAAGAACGAACAGAATATCAACATGCAACCACCGATACCACAGGTTAAAATCACAGTCAAATCATAGTTTAAAATGATTCTTCAAGAACATTTTCAGTCCATTCGGTCAATATAATTCATATTTCTTGTAGAACTTCATTTACATGCATCTGAGGATATTAAGTCATTTATTGCATATGCTTTCTTTTCATTTCCTTGGGCCAGCTCTGACTCTTGCTCTCGCTCTGGTTGATGTGTGAGCGCACTCTACCTGGAGATGGGCCCATACAAGGAATTCCACCCTTTATGATGTCATACAGTGCCATATTCGGAAAAAAAAAAAAAAAACTTTCACAGAAATAATCTGTCATATGTCCAAATCGTTTTTTTTTTAATTTGGCCATGTTTAGCATGAGAATCCAACTCTTTAACAGTGTAAAGAAGTCACAATGCATGACATGACATAGCATTAGACCTCCCGTTTAGTAAAAAAAAAATATGTCTTTGTTTAATACAAGTGAGTATTGTTTTATTTATTTGTGTTATAACACGGATATTTCATGTCATCTGTCTTAATCGATTTGTTAATAAAAGTTTATTTAATGTAAGCAAGGTTTTTGTACTATTTTATTGTTGTATTTTCATGAAATTAGTAATGAATCAAAAACCAAGCATTCATTTGAAAGGGGAAAATCCATGTCTTTCATTTATTTGTGTTACAGTGTGGGTATATCATGTCATCCATCTTATTCATTTTATTAATAACTAATAATGTTAATTATATTTTTTTCTTCAAAGAATGTGGGATGATGTAAAGATCAAGCATTAAAGATCAAAGTAAACGCTAAAGATGCTGAACATCATCAACAATGATGTCCAACAATGTGCAAGTGTAATGGATTTCACGAGTTCGCACTAACATATAATGTGATTGAGCAAATAGTAGCGTATTTGGCGTGCTATCCAGAGGGAGGGCTCCGAGCTTGGGTTAAAGCCCGAACCCAGAGAACTCGCCAAAAGAAGCTAATGGCATGAGACAGCAGCCGGAGAGAAAATTGTAAGTAGCCCCCAAAAATATGCGTGCCGTGAAGAAAAGTAGGGTGTGCGAGGGGAGGCAGGGTGACTGGGAGGGGTCGTGCGGTGCTTGAACGGGAGCTGTGGCTCTCCACGTCGGATGGCAAGCCCTACCTGCCGCCGAATAAGGAGCATGATGGAGGTGAAGGACTCTCACTGCGTCCGAAGGAAGCTGCGGCTCTGCTGCACCGGAAGGGAGAGCCATGTCCGATGGGGAAAAAGCAAATGGGGCTCAAAACGACGGATGGAGGGCTCTCACTGTGACCGAAGGGAGCCGTGGCTCTTCTGCACTGGAAGGGGGAGCCCTGTCCAATGCCGAATAAGCCTTGAAACGACAAATGGAAGGCTCCCGATGCGACCCTCCCGCTGCGACCTGAAGAGAGCCACGGCTCTGCTGCACCGGAAGGGAGAGCCCTGTCCAATGCTGAATAAGCCATTAGGCTCGAAACGATGGATGGAGGCACTGCGGCGGTAGTATCAAATTAAGCAGGCACTGCAGCGGCAGAATTGAATTGAGCAGGGCGCTGCGTCGGCAGTATCAAATGAGCGGGGCACTGCGGCGGTAGTATCAAATGAGCGGGGCACTGCGGCGGCATTATCAAATTAAGAGGGGCACTGCTGCGGCATTATCAAATTAAGAGGGGCACTGCGGCGGCAGTATCAAATGAGCGGGGCACTGCGGCATTATCAAATTAAGAGGGGCACTGCAGCGGCAGTATCAAATGAGCAGGGCACTACAGCGGCAGTATCAAATGAGCAGGGCATTGCAGTGGCAGCATCAAATTTAATTTAACTAATCAGAATTAGATGGGCTTTCTTTGTGTGAAAATTATTGGTCCTGATATAGCTCTTGAAGGCGTCCAATGACCATCGACCGAGAGCTTGGATCTGCTGCTGTGAGAGGCCTTTTTGAGCTTCTGTAGTTACTGCCCCGATTCGGAAGGAGTGGCTGGAAAATCTTTCTATGGGTATAGACTGGTTGGGCGATGTTTTTGAACATCGTTTGGATAGATATTTTTGAAACCAAAAACGTGTGACGGGGTGGTTACAGTCGTTGACAAAAAGTGGGTCAAGAGGGAATGTAGACTGAACTTCTGAATTGTAGGTAAGAAAATGGGCCTGATACGGTTGGATTGGTGATGGGAGGTTAAAAATTTAGACGTGGTGACCTCTTTTTCCTGATCTGATTTACTTTGTTTGATGAAATAGGAGATAGTTTCGCTGTCGAGCATGGAAAGGTCAGAGACGGTTGGATGGAGTTTGGGGTTGAATATAAGTTAGTGAATTCCAAGCATCTCAGGAAACAAAACAAAAAAAAAACCAGTATGAACATTGCGTTGAGTCTACGAGCGGTATAAATATATTGGTACCCTGTGCAGAGAATGTGGATACATTTAGAAAGAATGTCGAAAGTTATCGGCTGTCTAGCATCCGGGCTTGGAGGATGAGAGCGCAGAATTCCTTTGATCAAAAGAGATGTTTGAGAACGGTTTATTTCAGGAGAGGGGGCGCCATAGATTAATTTGTGAAAATTGGATGCCGCTTAGATAACCTTTGATGGACTGGGCTTGGAGGTTCTTACAGGTATTGTGGTAGGAAACGAAAGATGCGATTGAGAGGAGAGAGAAATCAGGAAATGACAGGTTGTATGAGAGGTGGAAAACTTTAAATCATCTCCAAGCAGTTAGATAAGATTGGATGGTTCTGGGTGAAACTGCTTGGAGGATCGAACCGAGTGACGCGTTGAGGGGGTTTTAAGGGATGCGTTATGGGAATACGAGTTGCGAACAGTGAGGTACTGGGGTTGGCGATGGGTCCGCCTCCGGAGCCAGCGCTCTGAATTTCTGCGAGAATCTGAGACTTGATGGTATTAGGCACAGGGGGTGGTTCCTGAGCTGCAACATTCGGTGGGGTAAGTGGTGGGACTGCTGTGAATGAAGTGTACTGAGGTTTAGATTGGAGAGAAGGGTTAGAAGGAAAAATAAGGAGGGGCCGTAACCTTTTGCGGAGGCAGCCTCATGCACGGATTAGCCTCTGGTGCTTAGGGAAACAAGTAGGAAGAGGTAGAAGGAAACGAGAGAGAGGAGGCCAGTAAGCTTGCGTTGCTGGCTGGTGATGCCCTGCTTGGACGTCTGCAGCGGGGCTGCTGGCCATTGATAGGAAAAAGGAGTAGCGGAAGGGTAAGAGTAAGGTGCCTGAGCTTGAATGGCTAACGGAGGTAGGTGGGACTGCTGTGAATGAAGTGTACTGAGGTTTAGATTGGAGAGAAGGGTTAGAAGGAAAAATAAGGAGGGGCCGTAACCTTTTGCGGAGGCAGCCTCACGCACGGATTAGCCTCTGGTGCTTAGGGAAGCACGTAGGAAGAGGTAGAAGGAAATGAGGGAGGAGGCCAGTAAGCTTGCGTTGCTGGCTGATGATGCCCTGCTTGGACGTCTGCAGCGGGGGCTGCTGGCCATTGATAGGAAAAAGGAGTAGCGGAAGGGTAAGAGTAAGGTGGTTGAGCTTGAGTGGCTAGTGGAGGCAGCCTCATGCCAACGTCTGTCGCTGGAGGTAGAAGGAAGGGAGTGGGAAGGATAGGAGTTTGGGAAGCTATGCCAGTGGGCGACGTTGCGTGCAGCGCTGTAGCTGAAGGCGCCGCAGTGATTGGTTGAGAAGAGGAGTGAGGCAGTGCAGTGTGAGGAGCAGCCGAGTCTGGGGCGCGGCCCAGGCTTGCTGACGGCCTGCTGCGTCTTGAAGCTCGAGGGGAGCCGGAACTTGATCTGGAAGACAACGTAATTTTGAATGAAGTAGGGAGCTATGAGGAAGAGGTGCATGGGCTGCAATTGTCAGCAGAGGCAGCCTGATGTTTAAATCGGCTTCCGGGTTAGTGTCTACTATGGGAGCTGGAGGCCACTGAAAAGAAAAAAAGGGGTAATTAGAAATGGGAGGAAAAGCCCGAGGTGTGTGGGCCTGCGTTGCAAGCGGAGGCAGCCTCACGCTTCCTTCAGTTGCTGTAGGCCACGGGAAGGAAGTGGGGTTTGTGACATCCTATAGAGCCTGTGCAGCCTGCACAGCTAGCAGAGGCAGCCTCACGCTAGTGTGTGCTATGGAAGCTGGAGGCCACTGAAAAGGAAAAGGATTAGAAGTAACAGGAGGAAAGACTGAGATGTGAGGGCATGTGTTGCAAGCGTAAGCATCTTTGCTCTTGTTTCAGCTGCAGTAGCTGTAGGCCACGGGGGCTTGTGATATTCGGGGGACAATTCTGGAGAGCCAGTGCAGCCTGCACAGCTTGCAGAGGCAGCCTCACACTAGTGCTGCGGGAGCTGGAGACCACTGAAAAGGAAGAGAGGTTAGAAGTAGCAGGAGAAATATGATGACTTTGACAACATCATAAAATGACGAAAAGACATGCTTTTCCTCTTAACCACACAATAAGTAGTAAGTATAGAAAAAAGCTAGCCAGCCAAGCAGCACATCAGCTGGTAAAGACTTGGAGAGAGGTGCCTAGCAGTATGCACAACGCATGCAAATTAGGTTGCTAGTTGTACTTGTTCAATAATAATAATAATAATAATAATAATAATAATAATAATAGTTTCTTTATGATACACCTTAGTTGTTAGTTTGCACCTATAATTGTACACAGTTTGACTTATTTTCACGAAAATCAATCTTTTTCATCTTATCTGTCTATCTGAGTACAATGTGTAATTTAAAATCAGGTAAAAAGCTAGTGAAAATACAGAAAATTAGCATAATTTCATTCTGTGTTCTATGCAGTTTTGAGTCATGGTTACAAAAATGACATCAACATCCATGTCATCACGTTGTTTAACAACTTTTAACACCAAACGACCTACCTTTAGCAACTTTACCTAAAAATTTAATTGCAACACGGCCTGCGGCGTTAGCGGAGGCAGCCTCGCACTAGCTACTGCTACGAGAGCTGGAGGCCCGGCTACATGTGGCGCTGCGGCCGGAAGAGCCGCGGTGAAAAGTTGAGCCGAAGCGGGAAGCGAATGAGGTTTTGCTGCGGTGAGAACTGGGGCGCGTTTAAGGCCTGAGAACCCAGGCTCGTCTAAGGCCTGCCGCTGCGACCCAAAGCTCGAGGAGAGCCGGGTCTTGTGCGGGACAACGGTGGTGTCGATTGAGGCGAGTTCAAGGCTTTGCTCGATCTATTGGCCGCCTTGGCTAATTTGCAGGGGGAAGAATAAATCATACAGATCTACAGCTTTGTTTACCCTCCGTGAGAATGGTTAGTCCGCGTTTGCTTCAGACTTAAATACTATCCACTTTCCGATCGGATGATATATTGGCATGGCCGAATGATACGAGGATGTCGGGGGAGTTGGAAGATTAGCTGACGAGCTTCGTCTGGGCCAGACTGATTGATTATCTGATCATGCTCCTCCCGAACCTTG